ACACCGACGTCGCCGTCATCGTCGCCGCATGATCGTCAATGGGCCGCGTATCTCCGCCGGCGCGAAAAGCCAGCGAACGGTGCGAGCGAGAAAAGGGGGGCACGCTACAGTTATCCCGACAAAATGTCACGACGCGCCGCGGCAAATGGAGGAGACAATCTCGGGACCGGTTTCGTCGCCACGGTGTGACGCGACGTGAGAGAGAGAGACAGGGAAGAGAAAGAGCACTGGCGAATCTATATGGCTTCCCTCTGGAGACTTTTCTTCTTAAAACATTTATAGCAAAATGTTATATAATACTTTCAATACTTCTGAAACATTTTATCACGCATCTTTGATTGTAAATTATTTTTATTTAAAAAAAAAACTAAATGTAAAAAAACAAATTCTATTATATTATTATCTTTGACACAACAGACAACGAATTTTTGTATTATTATTCAAGTATTTCATAACGATTTGTATTAATTTGTAACATTGCATACAGAGCCTTATTATTTTATATTAATTTTTTTTGTAAAATTTTTTTAATAAAATGTTACGAATGATTTAAATTTTTCAACGTGACAATTCAAATAATAATTTAATATTCTACAAAATTCATATATAAAAAAAAAATCGCTTATATTTCGAGTCAATAGTCTCTTTGATTTTCTGGGTCCGCCAATGAGAAAGAGAGAGGCGTACGAGAAGTGGAATTAAAAACAGGACGCGAGAAAAGAGCAGTCCGTGGGGAGGCCGCAATCAGAAAGAAGAGGAGGGGAGAGGAGAGGTGCGAACGTACTTGCGTGGATGTGCAGCGGAGTGTGATGGAGTGATGCGCGCGCAAGACCACCCGCGTGCCGAAGTACGAGGCCTCGCGTGATCGTAGAAACTCTTCCGTCCGTCTCGATTTTAAATGGTTCCCGCGACAAGATTCTGCTCCGCTTCCACAGAATCTAAGTACGAACGAAATCTTCGAAAATAGATCTATCGGCAGCGTCAGAGGGTGACGTAGATGTAACGTCATAAGGCCGGAATTCAGACTGCGCGCTGAAGATCGAGATCGAAGAGCGAACATTGAAATTTGACCAATGAGGATAGAGGAGTTTTAGTTCCTGTTGTTTCTCGATTGGCCAAATTTCATTCTTTCAATCTTCAATGCGCAGTCTGATTCCGGCCTGAAGGACGATAATCGCAGTCGTATAAGGGCGCCTTTTCATGCTCATTTTCAGCGTCTTCAAGTAGGTTTATTGTTAGACATTCGACTTTTTTTAAGCAGACAAAATATGAAAATATATACAAGATATGCAAATGCGCACAAATGAATATGCATTTGTAAAATGTTTTATCGATAAGATAAGCTTCTATTTTGGTCTTACTAATTTATTTTCTAAAAAAAAAAATATGCAGTTGCGTAAAGATCCGATAACTATTTGTTATTACGATCAAAATTGACGTTTAGACAGTGAAAATTGTATATGAAAATAGCCTCGCAGAAAAAAAAAACAGTTTTGCAATTGTTGTAAAATTCTCTTTAATATGATTGTTATTACACACACATTTAGATCCAGGAAGGAACGGAAGACAAAAACCAATCATATCAAAGGATCTTACAACAATTACGAAGCTGCTTTTTCTACTGAAAACAGTTGTAATGATAGCATAGCATTCACAAAAAAATTGAGGAATTTAATATCTCAATGGTTTAAATTCTCACGGTTCTGTAAGATTTAATATTGAGAAACCTTAATGCTGGAAGTTAAATAAATCCAATTTCCAGCGTCAGACGCTTATCATCATGCATCACATCGAGAAGCATATAATCACAGCTTTTCAACGTCTCATGAAATGGTACCTCAATGTTCATCTTTGTCACGTCCGCGCAGGATAAGAATAACATTCTTATCTATTCCGATAAGAGTCTGTACATTTTCGCCGAAAATTAAGATATGGCAGCTTTATTTTTAAAAGGTGTAAACGTTTGTTATATCCTTCTTGGCATTCAGTAGAAAAGAAGCTTCGTAATTTGTTGCAACGTAAAATTCTTTTGAATATATGATTTCCCAATGGGAACTGGAAAACACATCACATAAAAAAATTTTACAACAAAGCTGCTTTTTTTGCTGAACGTAACCGAAGATAGAATGTGATACTTGGTCGCTCAAAACCACTAAAAATGTTTGCACTTAAAATGAGATAAATCTGTACATATCTAAGGTTTAAAAAGAAAGGAAGCAAAAATGCTGCGTGCAAAAAGTGCAAGCAACGCGAATTTGTGTCTCACGTCCGTTTCGATCAATGTATTACTGATTAATAATTTCAATTTCAGTTCAATTTGCTCTTTCTAATTTTTCGAATTAGAAAACGATAAACAGTTATTTAATTCGAAATTAAAATTGACCTACGTTCATAGATTAAAGGCGTTAAAAGGAAAGCAGTTGATGTAAAAACTGAGTTCGGTTTAGTTATTCGCGCTTTGAACGTTTATAATAATCATTCCGTCCATTACGCATAAAATGCGAATAGAAGTGCTGAAAATATCCAACCGCACGCAGTCAAAACGCCGACGTATCATCTCATTTATAAACGTGGCGGGCCTCGCTGCGACTGCTCGTTGCTGGTTCAACGTTCGCCGCGTCGTCGCGTCAGTTCCTCAACTCATTAAAAGACAAAAAGCAAAGCGACTAATCGCGTGTGATTCTGTATCGCGCCGTGACGTAGGAGAGAAGGACGCAGCGCGAAGTCACTCCGCGCGGTGGCGAGCGTGCCTCAAGACTTTATCATCGCTTCACGCGCTTCGCAAAGTGACGGGGCGGAGAAAGGAGAGGAGGTTCCGCCGCTTCGTCGGTGATATATTCCTCTTATCTTACGCACAGCGCGTTATCCGCGTATAACACGTAACGCAACGCAACGCAGTGCGACGGCGACGTGAAAATTCACGCTCGCTCGTGAGATTCGCGCTCGTATTGTGAGACCAGCACACAACGGTCTCATTCATCGGGTATAAATACGGCGGCGAGACGGCGACGGCGGCGTGACGTCACCTGATTGAACACGTCACGACATGGCAACTGAATGTGTGTATGTGTGTGTATCTTTTGGTCGTCCCATCACGTGCTCGGTGTACGTCTCTTTTGTACGCGTTCGGACGCCGATCGAAGGCAGAGAACTAAATAGAGATAGAGAAGAGCGAGAGAGAGAGAGAGCGAAGCGAGGACGCGACGGAGGACGTTGCTTCCTTTTAATGTAATCTCCCTTATACCGTCGTCCCTCGTCGACGTATATACGCGCGTGTGCGTGCGTTGCCTCCTCGCGCCAGATGGCTACAAACGAACGGCCGTGCACACAGCCCTCCTCTTCGACTATTTATAGTAGGGACCGATAAAAACGCCAGAACACCGCCCGCTAAAAAAAAAAAAATTACGTCGAGCTGCCGCGCGCGCCGCGTAAGGCCGGAATGTCCGAGACACTTCACGTCTCACCTTTGTGGGTTAATTCAGTCTTACATGAAAGCGAAAATGACAGTTCTTGACAAGTTCTTGCGGCTTTCTTTTCGAGAAATATGTAGATACGCATATCGATGTATAATAAAATAAAATAATAAAAACATGTAATAACAGTAAATCGATGGGAGCTTCTTGTTCGCTAAACGAGATATTATGAAAGCTCGACTTTTCATTAACTTGTGGTTTAGGCTTAATCTCACTGAAATTATTGATCACTTCACTCGAGGATAAGTAAAAATTGTGTTGTTTTGGCTAAGATTAAATTTATGGCTTTGTAGTGATTTCTCTAGAAGTTACTATACATTACCACAAAACCATCACTTTAGCAATTAGCCGTAGCTAGGAAAATATAATTCTTGTATCACTAGATGAAGTCTAACCACGAATTAATCAAAAAATGGAAAACCGGTTCTGAGATTTTTTTATTCGTCAACGTTGATTCGGTTAATTCTTCATTACTCGCGCGTGAGGTGTCCAAAAATACTCCCACTTCATAAATTCGCTAAATGTATATAAATGCCATATATTTACATTATTATACATATTTAGCGTAACTATTTCACAATTTAAAACAATTAAATCTATCTCTATATCTAAGGAATATAGGATGTTATCAATTAATTGTAAATTTAATCATCGAAAAAAACAGTGATGAAATGTGATATATATACGATGTTGAAGTATCGAACGTCCCACGCGAATAATGTAGAATTAAAAAAAAAAAAAATAGAAAACATGATCTAATAAAATTTATAAAATTCTTGTTAAGCAGCAATACAATTTCTGTGAAAATTACGATCACTTAGTAGTAATTAAGAGGACACTTGACAGAAATTCTCGTGTTTTATACTTCTGTCGAGCGTTCCCAAATAATCACGTTAAATTGAATTCGTTATGAAATATGTTAACACTTTAAACTATAAAGACTTTCATCACACAGCCATTTTTTAAAGGCAATCGTTAACAGCTAACGATTCCACGTTATGAATGAAAAATCGACGATTGAATTACACATCGTGTCTGTGGGATCTAATCGCAACACGCGAATCAATTTTCGCCAAGCTCCAACAAATCGTCCTTAGCCAGTCGGTATATTATTTTTGAAAGTAAACGTTGTGGTCGGAGGAAGATCGTTTGTTTGTAAACGCTCGCATAAATTAGTATTGAGCCGCGTGTGCTTGGTTTATCTCGTCTGTAATATTTACATCCCGCGGCTATTTTACATATTGTAGAGAAAAGTTCTCGAAATTAGGCATTACGATAAACGCCATTGGTCAGAAGCTCGTGAAGAAGACAAACGGAGCGACAACGCGACGCGCTCCACGTCGCATCTGGTCTCGATGTTATCGTGATGTCAGATGTCACGTTTCCAGTCCGTCGCCGCCGGCGGGTAAGAGGGGGGTTGCCCCCCGTCCGCGGGAGAGTCCCAATGGGAATTCGGGGCGAACTCACAATCGACTCTCCAATCGAACGATTGCGACGCGGACGAAAAAGGGAGGGAAGAGGACTCACCGTTGGCCTTGAAGGTGGTCGCTGTCTCGAAGCTGGGCGCCCTCACCGGATGCTTCTCTTTGTTCCGGTCCACGTAGCTGACGGCCAGGCTCACCGCCGGGAGGGAGTCCCCGCGGGTCAGCGGCGGCCTAACCGGATGCTGCTCCTCCAGGGACAGCCGTTTCTCGGCGTGCTCGTCCTCGTCGATCGCCGAGATGCCGCGTTTCAGCTGGGTCATGCCGCGATTGTGCAGGGTCATCTGATGCGCGGCCACCGCGGCCAGATGGGCGTTGGACAAACGTGGTGGATTGTTCCTTATGCTGTTGGCGATTGGCACGAGGTGCGAGGTCGGCGAGGCGGCGGCGGCCGCCGCCGCCGCCGCTGTGCCCGACGTGAACTCCGTGATGGAGTTACGGTGGTGTAGCTGCGAGTAGCCGGCGATGTTGTGATGACGCGTGTGACTGCCCTGCGGCGTGTTCTGGATCGGCAGCACGTCCAGATTCGTCCCGCCGTTGTGCTCGGTGTGACCGCCGCCGGTACGGTAAGTCTTGGAGGCGGACGGCCGGGCGTCCTGGAACCCGTGGGCCTTCTTCAGCTGCTTCGCCGACTCGAGGACCAGGTCGATGCGGTCGGCGCCCTCGTAATTCACGCAGCCGCGGCAAACCGGCTCCGAGAAGTCCATGATCATCGCCCATGGCATCCTGGGCAGATCGCACAGATAACACTGCGTCCGTTTGCCCATCATCTTGCCAGCGAGGATCTGCCTGTTGTTTGACCGCGACAACGGCGGCCTGCTGAGCTGAGAAGGGGAACCGCGGGGGGGTCGGTGGGTGGGGGTGGGGGGTGTTAATCGTCCACTGTGTCGCGCTCGGTGAATTATCACTTCACAATCCACTGTTTGTCTCGCGGCGCGTATTATCTCCCGAGGGCTCTTTATCTCGTTTAACCGCGAGCTGTATCGGGAGTATTATCCCCCACGTTTAATCGTCTGCTTTGTCCACCACCTCTCCCGCTCTTCGCTATACGCCTGTGAGGAGCACACAACACAAACACACACACATGCACACTTGTATATCTTATGCATACGTGTACACGACGCGTTTAATTCCTCTCTTTCCAGCTACGTGTATCTCTCACATTATTTTATTCTATCTCACTTATGTACCGTTTTGAGAAATATGGTGAACTCTCTCTCTCTCTCTCTCTCTCTCTCTCTCTCTCTCTCTCTCTCTATTCCTCCGTTAATTGGTCTCTGCGCTCTCGAGAAGATTTTTTTCCCATAACAAATGACGCTCTCTTTCTCGAATCACTCCGCTCCGCGAAAAGAGAATCGGCTTCGACCGCGCGCACCACTCGTCCGAGAAACAATAACCGCCGCTCGGAGTAACGACGAAGGCAACAACGATAACGTCAACCTGCACCTCCCGTCTCGCGCGCACTCCGTCGGCGCGGCTCGCGAGCACATGAGCCGCGAGAGGACGAACGCGTAGCGACGCCTGACGACGCCCGACTCGGCCGCACCGCGCGCACTACGCCTACGCGACGGACGGACAGCCCGGAGCGAACGACCCAAGCTCTCTCCGCGATGGCGCCGTCAACGATGGCGGGAATCCACGGCGTCACTTCACTCCCCCGGGGGAAGAAACTCGCGCGCGTACACGAATCCTCGCACTGTCTCGCACCCGGGAAAGGAAGCGGCGCGGCGAGGCACCGCTAAACGCGAGGCACCGCACACGCGACCACGACAACGACCGCTGTCTCCGCAATTTATCGTAATCGCTCTTCCTAATTTCTTTCCTTTCTTCTTTTTTGTTTTTTGTTTTTTTTTTGGCAACGAGCGATACACGAGGTACAAACGCGTGAAATTAACACGGATCTTTCTCTGTCTCTGTCTCTCTCTCTCGACACGACGAGACGTACGCTCGACCCGCTCGACCGTCTGGCTGCCGTACGAAGAGACGAACGCTCGAGAATGCGGCGGTAAAGCCGAGCTAGACCGTCAGCGTTTCCACCACCCAGTCTTAGCCCCGTCTCTCTCGGACCAGCGGCCACCTTTCTCTCGCTCTTTCACGCTCGGCACTCGTTCGGCTACCTTCGCTCGCTCGATCCCCTCACCGTCGAATCCGCGCGTATGCTAGCTCTCTCTCTCTCTCTCTCATTCTCTCTTCTTCTCTCGCGCGCAATCCTCTCGTCCCCGCTCGCCAAGAGCCATTGCCAAGCCATCTCTCCCCCTCGCGTCCCGTGACATCCTCGTCCCTAAAAAAACAGCTACGACGACGCGACGACGACGACGACGACG